CTCTTCCAGGACGGCTCTGGAGAGCTACAGGCTTGATACGATTCAAAGGCAAAGGAGGTTGATACAGCATAAGTTTCTCCCGCAAAACAACCCCAAGAAACAGATACGAGCCTGCAGAGGTTCCCCAAGGCAGCGCTGCCGGGAGCGAAGGAAGTTGTCGCGCAGCCGGGTGCCCGCCACCGCTCAGGAGGGCACCAAGCAGCCAGGCAAGGGTGTTTATCTGAGCCCTAGAGCAGCAGAGACCACGGAGGGATTCCTTCGGGAAGCGGCTCTGGCGCGCGGCCCCGCTGCTGCTGCTCGCGGCGGCGGCTGCTCCCGCGCTCTGGGCAAGGACGCTCCCGCTCCCAGAGGAAACGCGGCTCCGGCAGGGCCGTGCAGGGAGCGGGGAGCACGTGGGGTTACAGATCTCGGGAGAGGAGCTTTTTTTTCCTGCCTCTCCTACGGAAACTCTCCTAAAGCCCGTTTAGCCCAAGGGATCTCAAAGGATGCTCGCTCCCACCGCAAAGTAGGAATGTTTTTCAGGAGCTGTTTCCAGTTAGAATCTTCTCCTGAATGACTTCCTAGGAAAGAGCTGGATTTTGACAGATTTAAAGCATCCAAACATGCCACCCTTTTCCTGGCAGCTTTGAGTTTGGACAGTGAACATCATTGCGATGTTTTTCCCATGACGAAGCAGTATTACTTAAGCCTCCCAAGGGTTGCAGTAGGCCGTTCAGGAGCACGGAGGTGCTCTGTGCCCAGCTCCGTGCGCGCCCGGGTGCAGCACAGCCAGCACACCCCTGGCTGAGGCGGTACTGCAGCACCACCAGACACCGCTGGGTTTTACTGCTCCCCGAGGTGCTAACACGAAGGTATTTTAACCTGGATCAGGGACAAATGTTCAGGGAGGTCAAGATCAACACCGTGGGAACAAGAGCGAAAGAGGGAATCTGTCTCAACACCCATCGGACACACCGCAGAATTAGGGGAGATCAGTCAGAACCAGGACTTCCCTGGGTCTTCTCATACCCACCCTAAAAACAGTTCCCTGAGGAAGGAAACACATTCACCATATAAACTGAGTTAAACTGGGTTATAACATAGTTTTTACCAAGATCCCGAAGGGAAAACAACACCAAGTCTAAAAATCACTTTCACCAATAGAATGTAAAACTAAATTAAATATATATATATGTATGTTTGTATATGCATACATATATGTATTATCAACAGGTACTGAGAAAAATACAAAGTTATCACCTGAGTACTCAGCCTGGAGCTTTGATCACTTTCCCTGCTCCTAGGTTTTTAACAGACACGTAATGTTTGCCTCGCTGGACGCTAAATACATAGCCCAAGACAAAGGATATAACAGTCATTACTGCAGGCTTACTTTGAAGTATCTGCTGAATAAAGATCTAAATAAAATTCACCTGTTTACTTCTAAGTTAACACTTTCCCTTAACATCACCATAATGTTAAAACATAAGAGGTTTTTGGCTAATTTTGGAATCTGGAGAGACTACGGCCAGTAATGGTATTATTTAATGTGCACAGTGTTACATAAATACACATTCACACATTTCTGGCATATCTATCAGTGCTGTGTAGAAGCACCAACTAAGAGGACCACGAAGTGTGACGGACCCACAGGCACCTGCAAACTCCGCAGCCCGCAGACCCGCTCCCTACCCGCTGGCAGGCTGCTCTGCCTCCCAGGTGGATGGGTACGAGCTCTTCGGAGAGGAGGCCCACTTAAAAGTTGTTCCCTTCCACATCTTTGTCAGCGCAACCTCCTCAAGTCTTACCTTCCCACCTCATTTTTAGAACTGGGTCCATTTTTCTACCAGTGCACGCGCCAAACTTGTTCTCCTTGTACACTGTTCTCTCCTCGGGTTTTCCAGCACCAAACATGGTCACATTTCAAGGACACGGGACATTAACTTCATTCTGTATTTTAAAATCTCACTTTGCACATCCGTGATCTCCACAGCCTTGGCTTCTTGCCTTATTTCCACCACCTCTTTGAACTCTTCCCCTACACCCAGTTGCTTTTGGCTTACCTACTCTCCCTCCAATTCCAGCCCATCGGCACAGGCCGATGTCCTGTTAATAAACATGCCTGACAAAAGCCTAGGAGACAGAAGAGCAAGAGCTCAAATGACTGTTGTGCAAAACAGAGTCCAAGTCCACCCCTGCCGTCTTCTTTCACTTCTGCTCTTGCTCCTTGCCAATATACGAGTTTGGATCAAGCAGTACGGCAAACAGAAACAAGCAGGCCATGGCCAGCCATGCTGATTTTAGTTTATGCTGAAACAAAGCTTTCAAATTATTCTGAATAATATCTTTGGAGGCAAAACAGCTTCTCACCCCAGCACTACCTTCTATTATTTGATAGCTCATCTTCTGCAGCTTTCTTCAAATTAGTTTTTAACCTCTTCTAACCTATCTATTTTGCACATGGTGACCGACATAGGCTGGAATGCTCTGACAGGAATAGGAAATGCTCTGCAATAATTGGATATTGAACGTACTAAGATTGATTGATGCTATAACCATCACTTTCCTCCCCTAAATAACAACCAAAAACCACTTTACCTTCTACCAAATGCTAGGATGGGATTATTTTCATTGCACTGCTCTTGCCCTTGAAGGCAATGAAGTCAAATCAAGGCATGAGTAGTCCCCAGATCACTCACCGTCCCGAGTGACCTGCACTGCAGCCAGCCAAGGCAGCCCCAGCGATGCAAAGGAAGGCACCCACCCCACCACACATGGGTGCCAGTTCAGCAGACGATCCCATTTTGAAAATGCATGATGTATAACTGCAAACAAAGCACGGCAGACTACATTTTATGTGCAGCAGATTTAATCCCAGCCTGAAGCCACAGTGAATAAGCTTTTTCCTCCACGCACAGGGCTGGAGGGGCTGGCGCGCAGAGCCCTGCACAGCTCTTACAACCAGTTCAATTCAGAAGAAATATTTCTTTGGTTATTTAACAAAGCACAACCATGAGCAATAATATTATATACCACTGAAAAAGGGGGAGAGGACAGTGTATTTTCTTTCTTAAGTCAGTTTTAATCTTAAAACTGCAGGGGAGAGGACTAGAATTTTCTTTATAATTTGCTGTAATTTGTTTTCAAAAATTCACTCTGACAAACATTTAAATGTAGAAACATTGATTTTTTTGAGAGCTTCTTAGTACAACGATTCGAAAGCCTCTGCTTAGATTTAAAAGGGTATTAAAAGTTGCTGTAATAAAAAAGTTCATTTCAGAAGCCATTGAGCTACGACAGTGTGACACGCGCTCTCGTGAATTCATAGGTAAGTTAAGTGAATACAACATTTCACCTGCTGCACGCAGGTCATGGGGAAGATGGAGAATACCAGGTACACAGAGGCCTACAGACCTCTCCATGGAGCACCAGCTCTTCGCCCTTCATATGGCACAGGGCAACTGCTTAAACCAACCCGCAGTGCAGAAAAGGAGGCAATCGATCTTCCACGACCAAACTGCTCAAGTCCTTCACACACGTGTCCAGTGGACAGTAGCGTAGTGCAAAGCCACAGCTTATCCCAGTGTAACCAGGCACACAACAAGCCAGGCAATGCAGAAGAATGTCTGCATTACTGCACTGCACTGATGCGTGCTGTTAGTTTTCTGTGTCCCCACTTCAACCCTGCCAGCACTCCTACTTCCATTGCTCCCAACAGACAGGATCGCACTAACTTCCCAGCGTTGCCATCTCAGCAGTTCAGAGCCTCATCCCCCCAGGGGAGCTGCCTGGCTGGCGACCACCACGTCAGCGTCGGCGAGCGGCACATCGCCACATCGTCACCCGCGGGGGCTCAAGCCTCCGCAATGCACTGCCCTTACCTCGAGAGCACAGTGGACAGCTTGACCAGGAACTTCAGATGAAATGAGACACTTAACGTAGGCATGCTCAGCTTAATAGCACTACCGATATCTATAAATTTTAATTAAAAGTATTTTAATTAAAAGCCACACAAGCTCCATGAATGTAGACCACAGAAAACATTCAAGAAATCCAACCTTCCAATTTGTGTATATTGAAAGAGAGTAACCATACTAAAGAATGGAGGGAGATAATTGAAGAGGAAAAAACGTAGTAAAACACTCAGGAGAAAGAAGAGGCATGAACAGCATTCACATCAGGTAAACAGGGCACTCCTGTCAGAGAAACACTGAAAACCCTTTTAAGCAGTGACGCTCAGTCCTCTCCTGACACCAAGAAGGACTGACAGGTCTCCACGTTCTTTACTGCTGCCTGCCCACAACAGAGCAGGCTCAACTCGGCTCTTCTGCCTCCTGGGGAGGCAGATTGGAAAGGGAGCTACGGGCAGCTGGTGCTGCACACCCCATATCCTCTTTGGTCTGAGCTTCTTCTTTACACCGAGAGAAAGGCATTGCCTTCTAGATTTGAGATGAGCCAGGGTGTCCCCATATGAGAAGGGACCCTAAGTGGTAACATTTAATCCTCTGCTCCGTTATTTCTGGGGTTTCCACATATTGTGGCCTGGCTGCCAAGGCAGGCCCCTCTCAGGAGCTGTTGAGAGATGGTGCAGCAGGGAAGGGTGGAAGGAAATGCGAGCACCATGACTTCTTAGGTCACAGCAAAGCAGGGAGAAGGCAAGCAGGGAAAGATCAGGACAAGGAAACAGCGCTTTACAGATTTATACTTCCCTGGAGGAAATCACATTAAATTGCTCAGTTAGACAATCACGTGGTAGGCTTTGGTATAAGCAGATACAGGTTTCCTGAACACGGTCATTCTCCAGGCAATTTTAAGAGCCCTGACAGCCAGACGGACCCTTGGAATATGCATTTCAAACCTTAGTGAGAAAAAACTGTCATAACTTCTGAATTTTAAATTGCCATTCTCAAATACCTTTAAATAAGCGGCGGTGTCGCCACTCTATTAGACAGCTTCCCTTTGTAACATCTGCTATAGAGGAAAAGTGCAAATAACAACAGTAGCACTATTTACTTTCTTACCTGAACCTGTTTTCTTAGCTCCCTTATGCAGGCACTGTCCTGAGCAGCAGTCTCACGGTGGGACGCGTCTGCAAGAACATTCACTGTCGTCTCTGCCTCTTGAAGCCACTTGAGGAAGCTCTCCAGATCCCTGTGCAAGGCCTGCACTGTCCTCAGCTCGGCCTCCAAGAAATTCTGACGATCAACAGCTCTGAAAACAGGATGACAACAAGCATCAGAATTCTCCTCCACAGCATTCAACATTACACATATCATAAATGGAACTACTGAAAGATTAATCCCAAAGTTCTCTTTGTTAAGAAACTATACATCTGTCGCAGCTTGTTTTATCATTATTTAGATCACTGTTTCTCTCGTTATATCTATAGCTTTCCACAGATGTTCTTAACTAGATATATATTTCACAGCCGTTTTAAGAAAAGCATGTGGAAGAAAACAAGTTACTCACTAAAAATCTAGCTTTTTATTTTTGAGTACTGTGAACAGGGACTTATGCTACTCCAACTGCTAGAAGTGTTATTCCCATGTGTGAATGCTTATCTTCATCTACTAACATCACATGGAGTAGAAGAATTGACAAGTTGGAGCTTTTTTTCTTTTATAGTTAGCATAAATATTTCCCTAAATCAATATGTACTGTACTAGTTAAAGTGCTAAGGAAAGAAAAGTGATTCCTGGTTCTCCCTGCTAAAAGCAAAGGCTTTTGACACAACCACCCATACTGCATAATATATTACCATTATAACTGCCAATACAATTAGTCCAAAACAAACATTCTTAAAAAGATTCTTCGGTCCAAAGATCTCAGCTAGATGATCGTAAAAGATTTAATTTAGTAGAAGGTTAAGTCTTTTATTACTGTTAACCAACTACACTGACAGCTTTCCAAAAAAAAAAAAAAATCAGATTTATCTATCAGATGCAGGGATACAGTGTGATTCCTTGTCACTGAAATGAAGCAAGTGGAAAACTGTTATGGTTGGCAATTAAAAAAAAAAATGAAATGTGACAAGCTGCTTTTCATCCATTTGAGGCTACTACTTAGCAATATCCCTTTTTCCAAACCATGACCAAAAAAACCCAGCTGTTCCACCAGCATACTGTACTGAAGCCTCTATCAGGGCTACTGTCTGGAATACAGTTGCTAAATAACCAGGAAGTTCAACTTTAACTCAATCACTAATCATATTATAAGATTTCAGTGGTAAAGTGATATTTATTTTCAAATGAAACAGGGCCAAAGTACTCAGCATTTGATATTTTTGAAAGACTTGCACAGATTTCTCCAGACACACTCAATCTATTTGCATTCGCACATTCTTCTTACGTTTGTTTTCTGCTTTCCATATTGTGGTGACAGTTTTGCTCAGCAGTATTACAGACTCACTGTATTCAGAATCAAGATCTTCAACAGTGGTTAAAATGTTCTTTAAAAAAACAAAAGCTGCAGGTGTTTGGTATCATTCAAGAGGATGTTTCTAAACTGGTAGTTTAGTTTATTGGCACATCATAAGAAAGGACAGATGTGAGGAAAAGCTGTTTTCCTTCAAGGGTAGTAAGGAAATTTGATGCAACCCCAATTCTGTCAGTCTTGCATCCTTCAGTATTAACAGAACCAACTGTATTTTCAGGAGACTACTTGCAACAACATAGTTTTGCAAACCCAAATTTAGAAACTGTTGGGCTTATGCCATGTTTTAATCATTGCTTCATCCAGAGTGAGACTGCTTGAATCATTCCTAGCTTCGTGCTCCCCAGGCTTTGGCCACTAGTAAAGGACTGGCAGGGCAAGAAGCTCTGAAGCAATGCTTCACCCCCTCTGGAGAGAGGGGAGAGGGAAAAAATAAAAAGAAAGCATGCTGAGGATAACAAACTGTTTGATAGATATGTTGGCTAAAATAATAACAAAGTAGCAGCCGAAAAATTGGAGCATTCTAATACACCAAGAAAGAGGAGAGAGAAAAGAGGGGAAAAAACATGCACCACAAAGTAAAAGCAGGAGCTCTCACTTCAAAACTGTCTCCCCTCTGCAGGGAATTTCTTCCCTAGCAGGGGATTAAAGCCAAAGGTGGAATAACAGGAGTGGCAATGGGAAGAACAGGCTGAAAATAAAGGTGACCTTCAAAAAAAACCAGAGAAGCCCCAAAGGATGAAACACATTAAAAGTGACCTAGATCTCCAAGTGTAAGTACCGATGTCCTAGGCAGGGATTGAGCCAGCTGGAACATTACACCTAATAACATGCATTCAAGAATGTTTTAATTTTTAATTTTCAAGTTTTAAATATCTCAAACTTTGTGCTTATTTGAAATTAAAGAGAAGAATTAAATTCTGTAACAGTCCCACTGATACCATGATATTTGAACTACAGAGAAAAATCAGTCTGTTCTGTAAATCTGCACTCCAGCAGCATAAATTACCGGTTTTACCACTAATGTTCTAGACCACATGACTATTGTAAAAGAGGACCTGTATGACAGTAGTGAAGAACACCTCTAGAGAGCAGACCCAAGTACTTTCATTTCACTCCAGAAAAGGTCACCAGCAGAAGATGATGGAGAGTTCTGCACTGCAGACAGACCGTTTGCCCTGCCAACAAGGCTGACTCAATTCTCACATAAATCTGGCACAGTCACAACACTCTCAAAGGGGAGAAGCTCCTCCCAGGATGTAAGAATCAGCACCAGGAGAACCTGCAGTGCCCCACACAAGCGCAGCCAACCTCACTGAACTCAGTGACAGGCAACAAGGTCTAAGCAGATTCCAGTAGCAAAGACATGCCCAAGAAAAACAGTCTCCTTTTAAGTCTCCTAACTTAAGTTTTCCTGTCACTGTTTTAGCTTCCAGTTCCACTCAATTATTTTTCAGACATAAAGTAAAAATCTGCAATACACACGAGCATGAGATCAAGGGAAAGTCAAGAAAAACATTTGGGACAGACTGGACAACAACTGCAGCCCACTTCTGAGGTAGCAAATGTTGAGGGAATTACTACAATTTCATCCTGAAATATAGAAGTGGAACACAAATAGCCACTGGATAGGATATCCAATTTATACAGCATCAGGAAGGAGTGCTTTATCTTCTTAATGCCTATGTTTTTAAAATGAGCTGATTCAATTTTGAGCTTCATGGCTATAGCCCTCCTGATAGTGCTATCAGAGTGCTATTAAGGACTGTGATTCTCCTAGATGAACAAGTAAGGACCCTTCCTGCACTCTCCAAGGCTTGGGTACTGGTGGAATAAAATGGACTTTTAAAGCACTGTATGGTAAATACATATAAGAGGCTATGGCTATAGAAGCCATACAGGATTCCAGGCAGGAGTCCTCAGAGCTCTTTCTGGGCCCCTGTCCCGAGCTGGGTGGGCCGTTTTATGCTGTCTCTAACAAAAACACTGGAAAGCTTGAACTTGAATGACTGTAGTCTGCTGTTACTACTAACCCCAAAAGCAGTTATTTCTCCTCACCCTCCTATTCCCCAGATGCCACTTTGACAGAAATCCAGACAAAGACATTTTTGAAATATTACAGTGCTCTGATAAGAGGGAGGAGGATCTGAGGCAGAACACACTCCAGTCTCTGATCTTAATGCAAATGAAGGATCTGGAATAGCCACTTCAGGAGACAAGTGCACCCCTACGGGCCACTTCAGAGGGAAAACGCGAAAAGCTGAGGAAACCTTATCGTATGACAGAGTTTTTCCCACCATTTACTGAAGGTTTTCTGAAAAAAAAAATGAAAATAGGTGTGCACATCACATTAAATAATAATGAAATCTTTTAATCCTTGAAAAGCCTATCTTGGATGTCTCGAAACATTTAGAGATCAACACAATTTTATTCTATCTCAAATCATCTTACTGTATGAGCTGTATAAAGTTTTGTCTCTTCTGATTCTCATCTCTCAGTGGAAATAACCAGAACACCATCCACATAAAACTCACCTTCACATCAAAAACACAAAACTATGAAAATACTTTTTTTGATTTGTTTTTCTTTTTAAGCAGGAATTGGATATTAGGATGCTTCCATGATGAACTGTGGGAATTTCCATCACAAGCAAATTTCAAAAGAGCTTCACTATAATTGACTTTTGATCTGCACTGCAGAAAAATTTAAGTATAGAGAAGAGAAGCTAATACACATAGATCTGCATCCTGCTATTTCTGTCATTTAAGAAAGAGCTACATATAGCGTGAAACTTCCTAATTACCTTTGGTTCAGATTAACCCAACAAGTGTTCATTTGGTCAGTGGTTTCCTTCACCCTCCTTGTGTCATCATCTCGATACTCTCGAAGAAGTTTATTGGAAAGATCATTGAACGCAGCTACCGTGATGTCACCTCTATGCAAATCTTGTACTAACACCTATAAAACAATTCCAGAACGAGACACGAGCCAAATGAAAATCAGACCATTTCACATATAATGCATTTCATCATATTAAAACTTTTACAATAAATGTGTATATATCTCATCTAGAATATACTCTTTCTTAAAACAAAGAACTATTAGAAGATAGTGTCCTGACAATGAGCCAACCAATTCAAAAATAAATGAGAAAAAATTATGCTTTTCAGAACTGCCAAAGAAATTTGAAATATCTTACTGTGTTTTACTGGTAATGGAAGCAAAAGTGCTTCTATATTTTTAGTAGAATGAGTAAGTTTAAACTATGTGAACGGTGCTACAACCATAAGCTTTATGTGACATAAATTAAGTGTGCTGCAGGATTTTTTTTTTAATGAAGAAACATGTCAAATATTGTAATTTATTGTAGCACGATATTCATAACATGGCTCAGCCTTCTTGAGATATCTCTAACTCTGGAGAAAAGTATGCATTTTATATACGTGTATATTTTCAGGTTTTATACATTTATACGTTTTTCACCTATATTGTATGTTCTCTGTTCTGTATACGTTTGGGCACAGGTTATTTCTAATCTCCTGTTTAAATAAAGCCAGTGAAAAGCAAGCAATTTTACTATTTACTAAAATAGGGCAATAGTTTAGTGAGGAAATCTCATGACCATATCTCCCTCTGCTTCTTTCCATACCCAGCTGCACTCCTATCTTGTCCTTCCGTGACTATATATACACCTGGTTTTTAAAGTCTATTACAGCCTGTTCCTTGTAGCACTGATAAGAGCCCCTCCCAACTGACTTGTCTCTTTAGTTCTCAGCCTGTGTCTCCGAGAGCCTGTCCATTTTCTGGCAGCCCTTGGAAGAAAGGACATCAGACTTATTGATTTATCACAGCAGGTTTGCTCTGACATAAAAAGCAAAGAGTGCGCAAGATTGGAAAAAAGGTGCTAAACATGTCCAGGGGACCCATCAGAAGTGAAAATGAATATATTTTTAGGTATCTTAGTCCATCCCTGAATTTGCTTACTACCACTAGTAGGTTTTCGTGAAGTAACACATGCTCAATCCTGTGACTGCACAAATAAAGTTTTAGCAGTCTGAGGTTCACATTTTCTGTATTTGATCATTTATTTGCTACTGTATTGACTTAAATTACACTTCTTACTAAGAAGAGACACAACATGCACACATGCCACCCGTTTCCCTGCCCCTACAAATGATTCCCAGGGAGTCTGATTAGGGGAGGAGGGTGGGAGGAAGGAAGAAGAGCGGGGGGGAGAGAGAAAGAGTTTACGGCATATTAATCCTTAGAGAGAATTACCAAATCAATTTTACAATTAAATCTTATATGACACAGATTGTCGTACAAGGCCCAACACGGAGACGCGCGGAGGCCTGACCTTGTTGTCCGCCAGCTGCTTGGCCAGCGCCTCCCGGGGGGCCTGCAGGAGCAGGCGCAGGCGGAGCTCGGCGTGCTCCATGAGGCGCTCCACGTCCTGCCGCTGCTCGTCCCAGCGCACGCTGTCGGCCAGCATGTGCTTGAGCCGCTGCTGCCGCTGCTCCACGCCGTGCTGCGTGCCGTCCCACTGGCTCTTCACCTTCTCCACTGCGGGGCACAAGGAAGGCAGTCACAACATGGCCGCAAACCACCACGCAGCTTCGCCTAGCAGTTGCCTCATGCCAAGGAGCCAATAAAACAACTGATTTGCCAAAAGTTCTCTCAGAGTTCGGTGTTCTAGTTCCCCATGTAGTTTACGCATTCACCGAAGCACAGGAAACAGTGGTGTTTGGCTGCCTGTGTTTAAGCAGGCAAGCTCAAGGTGACAAATAATTTCGGAGATTTCAAACCCGTGATCTTTTACTCTTCAGGAAGGCATATTTTGGTGGCCAGTTGGCCACAGCTCCACTATGAAGATAAGCAAAGGCAGGCCTTCGAGGAGCACAAGTTGAGGTCCAGACTGGCAAGTCTGCAGTTTGCTATACCACCAAATCACCTCTGTATTGCTGTAGCTGAAAACGGTATAAATGAACCAATAAAATAAACCATGTTTAGCCCCGTGTAGTCTACATGGAGCGAGATAAGCTTCACCGAGCAGCACGCTGAAGCTCCTGCCCCACAGTTTGGGCTAAGCCAGAAACATCCGAGTACCAGCCTGCTTTAATGCTTCCATTTCACCATGAGTTTTTACAGGCTGAAGTTAAGGAGCTTTTACAGCATAACAGAAAAGTTATTGATCACATTCTGTTTCCTTCAAGTATCAGGTTTATCCCTCACTAAGGGAAGTTACATCACATGTTCAGTCACACCAGCCCTTAACCTTTATTAAGCAAAGGGTGAAAAAGACAACATGGCAAGAGCATGGGGGGGGAAAAAGTAGCGTGCCGGGGCAGCCCTAACCCTGCCTGTCACAGCGAGATGAACAGTGTTAAAAATATTTCTTAATAGTTACAGGTCATTAAAAGTGTAGGAAGGAGGGAGGGGAGAAGGCATTACTTGGCAGTTGACAGAAGGTCTTTCCTATCACCTGCCACAACAGTTAGCAGCGGCACATTATATTACAAGAACGAAAGAATGAAATAGGAATTGTAAAGAAAAGAAGGAAAATAAAACAAGACAAACTCCCTGAATTTCTGAAGTACAGCTGTTAGATGACCTCATTTTCAAAACACATGCCATTTTTATTTTAATATCTTATCCTAATAAACACAGTGAAACACTTTACTAAAATGACACTCCTGACAACACAACATCAACAGTTACAGGCTGGCCACAGGGCCAGAGGCCGCCGTGAGGAAACAGCCTTTCCGCAGAGGCTCCAATCCCCTCTCTGCTCCCATCTGCTCAGGCCACTTTGTGTCATTTCACCAACGTGTTGCATGATTTTAACCTCAACTTTGAGACAGGTTACACCGCTGATTTTCAAAGAGAACATTTTAATTAAACTAACAGCAGCCTTATTTGTTACTCGCAGGAAAACGCAAGCCTCGTTTATTCACCCACACAAGCACTTAGTTTTAAAAACACTCGGAAAGCTCCTTTCTGACAAATCTGAACTTTTGTATTTAGGAACTTTGCACACAGAGAGATGAAAGTCGCTACCTTGGCTAACCTCATGAGTTTCAAGAAAACATGATGGCGCCGCCATGAGGTCCAGGTGCCACAGGAATTGTTAGTTTCTTCCCTTTCAATTTTCCCATACATAAAACAGTGTTGTTTTGAATCGTGGATAGCATTGATCCCATTTTTCTATTAGAAAAATGTGTTGTGTACTTTCATGCCTATCTTCAATTCCTATATGGCCAGCAGCAACAGGTAGGCAATATGTAAAACAACTCATGTTTATTTTACCAGCTAGTATGTCATTTTACTTTGTGTATCTGAAAGCTAACATACTTGAAACACAAAGCACTTTAATCTTTCACAAAGCAACAATGTTAAGGCTTTACCATTACCTTTTTTGTTAAATCTTTTACGAGCATTCAAAGTCATTATGCTTCATCTGCTTTGGAAGCTCTCCTCTCCTTAAGGATTACTTTTAACAGCATTCTGCGTGGCTCCACAACGCACTCTGACTGCCTGTCAAGCTCAAGTGCCAGAGCAGCTCGCGCTCTCTCTACATATGTATACATATGCACTTATATATACATATATATGTATATATGTGCATATGTATGTATATACACAGACATATAACTGCAACACAGATGCAATTTCTAGCCACAGGGAACTTTTGGATTAATTTTCAGGTATGGTATAGATCATACTGAATATGAGAATTCAGAAGAATGAGTCTAACGGCCAAAATTTTACATAACACGTTACTACTTTTAATAAATAGTATGTTCAAAAGAAAATTGGCAGCTGTTGCAAGAGCTGTTTGTGCTGTTTTCACAAACAGCAGCAGGAGTGAAAGAACGCTGTAGCATTTTGAGCTGGCTAATGAACCATGGAGAAAAAGCTCCCAAGGGTTTGAGTTCTCCTTGCAATCCTGCAAGGAAGAAAATATTCCTGAGAAACAGCTGTCTTCAATAGCAACTTGCCTGAAATGAATAGATATTTGAAGTTTATACAGAAAGTTAATATGGAAAGAATATTGCTTGACTGTGTTGCATATTTTTCCCTTTGAAAGCCCAGGTTAATCTCACCTCAATTAAAACCACCTTCGACTCCTTGTTCATAATAGAGTTATTTACAGCTGACATACTTCCCTACTCTTCAGCCTCCAGCAATACAGGCCACGACACAGTGAATTTAAATTCTCACTACCTTAAGAATCTGCCCTTGCGTTCAATAGATTGGTTCCTAGAAAAACCAGTCAAGAGCACTAGACTGGTATCAAAGCTGGAAAGATTTGAAAGAATCCCTGATGAAGCTTTTTTTTTTTTTTTTTTTTTTTTTTTTAACTCCCAATGTCCACATACTAATCATGAGAGAAGGTTCAGGTAAGGAAACTTTCCTCTATTTTCTGTGATTGTAGCTCTCAGAGTAATTAGGCTTCATCTACTAACATATAGCTGACCCTAAGAGCTTGTAGGACATAAGAACAGTTCTCAGCATTTAGAGCAACAAGGTACATAAAGCAGCCTTGATTTTTTTAAGTTCATCTATGTCACATGACAGCCTGCAAATTTTCATATACATGAAGGAAATGTTCTGGAAGCCTCATGCATGGCATGCATGCATCCAGTGTACACCGGTTCTCACTTCTCCTGTACGGGCATGACTACTGGTAACACAAATGGAATCTCAAAGTGTAGATCAGTGACATGAAAATGCACCACCTCTCAGTCAAGATTTTTTAAAAAAAAAGAAAAAGAAAAAAAAAAAAAAGCATGAACATGAAGTTAGTCTGAGTTTCTGAGTTTACGCATTCATCCATTTCACATAATGAACTCTTCACCACATTGTACTTTTTATATCAATGAATAACAGATGCAGGACAAGTGATAAGGATTTAAAGTAAATCTCAAATTTCTGTCAAATTATTTACTCTTGTCCTTCCAAATTTGTCCTCACCAAATATAGTGGTAATTCCTTTTTCCTTGAATTTTAGAGTGGTATGGTGAAAGCCATTTAACTGTCACACTTTCAGTGTATTTAAGAAAAACAACTTCAGTTAAGCTTAAAATCAAGAGTTTAAGAGAAAGATAAACAGATTATTTGACTGCCATAGAACTACTGACTATGTTTGACTAACAGACTATTGAATTTGCAAACACAGAATTGGGGAACTTACATTTTTCTGTGATCACTGTCCTAATGTCTGAACTGGAAGTTTTATTTTTCAAATTCTGAGCCAAGGTAAAAACAGAATCAAGCTGAGGGTGTCGCTGATCCAAATCCGCCTTCGTTATCTGTTGAGAATTAGAACGCAATTTTGTAGTACAAAAAGCAGGATTTAACTAACAATACCTGTATTATTGAGAGATGAAACATGTATGCATCATTATAGATAGATGACCCTTACTGTTTTACAACTGCAGCCCTTAAATGGTCACAATGCTCTTGCAATTCATCAAGATGCAAAGGTGCTCTGAATGACAGTTACTAAAACTCCAGATGCCCAGGTTAAGCTGCACAGACTACCCAGTTAGCGTAAAGATTGCCTCTCTTCCATTCTTCCATTGTTTATTTTCGAATTACTAAGCTCTGATCATTAAAAACAAAAATAGTTTAGACAAGAGAAGGGCAGTAGAAAAAGTAACTGTCTGTTAGACAGTATGTTGCACACAAAACTTTGCTATTACTTCACTATAGCACTGTACTAGAACCCCATTTTGTAAGTACTGTACAGTTAGAAGGAAAAAAAAAGTTACTTTTCACCAAGCTATTCTTTCGAATTCCACTTAAGGTTATCCACAGGAAGAGTTTAGAATTTGTTTAGGCTACAGCTTTCAATGTCAGGTTCTGGAGTCATTTGCCATATTTTTTTCCTCACCTCCGTTTTCGTTTAAATGTTATTAGCTTGTATTTTACATAAAAAATTACAGGTTTCTGACAATTTTCTAGGCTGCTCGTCTTCCAGAACACGTACTTTCATTCGTGAAATAGTCCGACTGATGTCTTCGGCGTTTCCCACAGTGACTATGTTCGACTTGAGCATCTGATCAATCAATACCAGCCAGTCACCCAGCTCGGTTGTAGTTTTATCCAGGTCAGCAGGTGCAGAAAGTTCCAACGCCTGCTGAGCCTGAACAGGAATTTCAAATGAAGAAGATACTAGCACCACCTTTTGGACATCTGAAACAATAAACAGAGTTTTAAAGTTTTGTTTAAGAAGGGGGAAAAAAATCACAGCCAAAGGGATAACCAATTACAATAAATATAATTCGGTATAGGTATGGGGGAGGGACTTGTAACACCTGTAAATATGCAGCAGCATCTGTAGAACCACCAGGACCTAAGTCACAAGAAACAGATTCCTTCAATCTCCTTTTCTCTCTCACCCTTTCTTCCATGCTGTCTCTCATTTCATTTTTTTTAAGTTAGCAATTATTCTATTGCATGACAGAGTCTCTCAAACAATTCAGATGTAATACAACACAACAAGAAGAAAACCCAACTTCCAATAGCGAAACAGCATTTAAATCCCATGGAGTGAAGTTAACCACTATGCGAATGAACAGTAACACCTAAGCCCTACTGGGAATAAAAGCAATTATTTCACATGAGCTAAGGGTCTGAATTGCCTTGCTCTCCTGCAAAGCTTTCCCCCTCCTTGGCCCAGAAGTACTTTAAGCACCAAGCTGCTCCCCAGGCTTTGCAATACCCAGCTGTCCTACAAGGGGATCCTGCAAGTTCAGCCCATGCTGTGCTCACCCCTTTAACCTGGCACTGCCAAGCTTCAGTGAAGCACCAAGGTTCTCTCTAGAAGCTGTTCTTCATAGTGTTCTTGCTCCAAGAAAACATTTAAGTTAAATTTAACTTTTGCACAGATACAATTGCCTCAAGCAGTAAAAGACAGTACCTTTACTTGGCAAATAGCTGGTATTAGCAAAAGAAACCAGGTTGAAACTGACACTGTAACAAAAGCTATTTTTCACCTTAAAATTTAGCTTGTCACTACTGTTTAATGATTTTTTTTTTAGGTTAGTTTACTTAAGTTCAAGCTATAAATTCTTCTGGGTGAGAGCTGTTTTTTTTTTTTTTTTTTTTTTAAAAAAAAAAAAGCTAGTTTTCTAAAAAGGACATCTGTGCATCTGCTTCTACTGTCTATAACTGGTCTGTTGGCAGTGACTTTTGAAAGAACTTGCCAATTTTGGCATCTGACACACGGGAAGCTGTCTCAAAGACACTATGTTTTGACAAGATTCCAGAAAACAAATAGCTAGGAGAAAGGCTTTATCTGTGCCCCACCTGAGTCAGAAGATACAGAATGACCTTTTATTTATATAGCACTGCAGAGAATCTGTATGCAGGAGATACTTCACACACACTCAACGGGAAAAGCCTCAGTGAGGTCTCAGTTGCTAAAAAGGATGACCACAAGGCACAATCCTCAGGAAAGCAGGCTCCCACAAGCAGACCTGCCTTGGCTTTTATTATCTGCCTGGTGCAGCAGCACCTGGTCAGGACACCTAAGCCTTACTAAAGCACCCCTGCATTTCAAAAATTCATGAGGAATCCAAAGAACACCTCAACCCTGTGCTCTCTCTGACTTTTTTCTAGCTACATGAAAGCAGTCCAGAGGACACCGATGTGCAACGTTTCTGATTTCCACTTCAAGTTCAGAAAAAAGAGTTTTCCCTTGTAGCTTGCTCTGGACTACAACCAGGATTCAACTTGCGCGCGGCAGACGCGTGTGCCTGTTGCCCACTCACCAGAATGCTTCCTTGGTGCTACGAGGGGAGGCTGCTCAGCAAATACCTCCAGTTCTCTCAGCCTGTCAGGCACTTCTTTGAAAACCTGCAGCCCAGCAGGGAGAGGAACAAAAACAGTAAGAAATGCTACATTAACACCAAAAAATAATCATTTACTAGATCATTTTAAATATTCTCCACTATGTTTGCTGCAGTGGTATTCAACAGTGTCATTTCCACACCCTCCAATTTCCTACCTAAATAATGGAGTCAAATAAATGAATTTTTGTAGACAGGCTGTTGTGTCCTTTTTTTTTTTTTTTTTTTTTTAAACTGTCCATGTACTGAGGTAATGACTAATTTGAAAGCTTTTTGAAGGTGTTGTATGAGACTGATTTCTGGTCATCAGGGACAGGAAGGTAGAGAATAGGGAATTCAACTTAAAAAAAAAAATTACCACTAGTTCCTACTGTAGAAGAAAAAAAAATTCTCTGCAATTTTGAAGAGGTAGCAAATAAATGTAAAATACAAAGGAATAACTGAATGTGTGAGAAACAAACTTTTCTTTCTCTGAA